TTTGCGCAGAGCACCTTGCCTGGTGCACCTTGCCTGGTGCACCTTGCCTGGTGCTGTCTCGCGCTTGCTTCACGAATGCTTCGTGTAGGGAAAAAGAACGCATCCTGCAGCGTTGGGCCGACCTCGCTTGCGATGTTATGCTTTCGGGCCAACCGTGGTCTAGTTTTTTGCATCACCGAGAAGTGAAGCCCGGCAGCTGAATCTTTTCAGGCTCTTCACCTCTGCACCGAGAGATCTCCTAATTCGGCAATCCTGCCTGGCAAGAGGAGATCCAACCCATAGCACAGGGTGAAGGGTGAGTCTCCCTCGCCGTTGCGGGCGCAATTTTTCCCAAGGTCTGCCTGTAGTACCTAGTACTCAACGTCAGGTCCCACAGTTGGCCTGTGTTCCTCCGGAGGCTCACTTGCATCTCCCGGGCCCCCTCAGCAGCCAGCACACCTGGGAAGCGGCGGCCAATCTCCTCTGTCCGCTCGCTACTCCCAAAAAGCCCGATTTCGAGGAGGACGAAACCGAGCCCTAGCTCTCCTCAGCCTTTTTCTTCCGTATGTTCTCGGCCGCCCGTCTTTCTCACCTCTGGAATTGAAACCTTTCCTGCCATCAACCACGACCTTCTTGTTCTTTCTCTTCTTGTTCTTTTCCTTTGCCTCCAAGGCACCATTGCGCTCATCCGCAGGATCCTCTGACAACCCCTCAGGAGCCAAAGCTCCGGCCCTTCCTTCATGCTTCATCTTTTCGGCTCTCTACGTAGAACATGATTCTTATCGGCCTGCGCCTTGCACGCGTTTGACATCCAACCTTAAGGGAGGGTTCTCCAACACCTCCCGCAAAAGACGACCATGTGCTCCAAAAGTCTGCCAGACCTGGTCCCTCCACCATGAGGTCCAGGTACACGCGCAAGCCTTCAATGACAACGCCCACCACCGAAGTCTCAAGCAGATCCTCTTCAGCTTTCCCAAGCCAGCCATGTCCAGCTCGACCAGCATCAGCTCATCCTACATCCATATCCTCAACCTCCCTCAACGAACGGCCCCTGAAGCGGGCCTGCATCTCTCGCTTCTACCCTTCCACGGGGCCTCCTTCCAGCGGGGATAGGTTTAAATGCAATGGGCACCACCTCCGCATTCCGTGAGGGAGACCTCGTCGGCCCTCCTTCCAACCACACCCAAAACCGGAGCCTCCTCAGCTCAGAAGGCGACCGAGGGCTCGGAGCGGGAGGAGGGGGGGAACCTTGGGAGGCACAGACACTCCGGGTGAAACAGGCGCCTGGACCTATCCCGGCTTGTAGCTGAAGCTCCTCCTGTTCTCCTTCTTCCTCGCCAGGGTCACCTCGCCGCACCTCCGCGGGTGCCTTCGAGGTGGTTGCAGGAGAAGCGCAGAGGTCCTACCCTCCCGCTGCCTCTGTAGCCAAGGAGGAGAAATCCCGGATTCTCCTCCCTAGCTCCTCGCTAACCACGGAGGACCGTAAACCGGAGCTGCTCCAAGGAGCTACAGACCGTGCACCACCGGAAGGTACTGTAACGGCCTTCACACAGTGGGCACGGCTGCTCCCCCATTCAAAAACCACAACCTTGAACACATGGCTGCGTGCAGACAAGTGCTACAATCTTTAGCTTCGTGAATCCCTGTATGTATGTATGTATGTATGTCTGTATGTATGTATGGATGGATGGATGGATGTATGTGTGCATGTGTGTATGCGTGGATGTGTGGATGTGTGGATGTGTGGATGTGTGGATGTGTGTGTATGTGTGTATGTGTGTATGTGTGTGTGTGTGTCTGTCTGTCTGTCTGTCCCTCCGTCTGTCTGCATGCATGCATGCATGTAGGCATGTAGGCATGTAGGCATGTAGGCATGTAGGCATGTAGGTATGTAGGTGTGTAGGTATGTAGGTATGTAGGTATGTAGATATGTAGGTATGTAGGTATGTATGTATGTATGTATGTATGTATGTATGTATGTATGTATGTATGTATGTATGTATGTATGTATGTATGTATGTATGTATGTATGTATGTATGTATGTATGTATGTATGTATGTATGTATGTATGTATGATGTATGTATGTATGTATGTATGTATGTATGTATGTATGTATGTATGTATGTATGTATGTATGTATGTATGTATGTATGTATGTATGTATGTATGTATGTATGTATGTATGTATGTATGTATGTATGTATGTATGTATGTATGTATGTATGTATGTATGTATGTATGTATGTATGTATGTATGTATGTATGTATGTATGTATGTATGTATGTATGTATGTATGTATGTATGTATGTATGTATGTATGTATGTATGTATGTATGTATGTATGTATATGTATGTATGTATGTATGTATGTATGTATGTATGTATGTATGTATGTATGTATGTATGTATGTATGTATGTATGTATGTATGTATGTATGTATGTATGTATGCATGCATGCATGCATGCATGCATGCATGTATGTATAGAAATAGGCATATGTATCTATATATATATATGGTCACCCCCCCCTGCATGACCTACCGTTGTCTTTCAAAAAGTCGTTGGGGACCATTAGCAGACAATAAAAAAGTGAAAAAACACCTGTTTTTTATGGTTTTCGATTAAAAAACAACACAGTCAACCATTGAAAAATTAAGAAAAACCAGTGTGGTTTGATGGTTTTAGCAAAAAATGTGCAAAAACCCATGTTGTTTTTAGAAAAAACAGGAAAGCATTCAAAAAAACAAGTGTAAAAACTGATATGTTTTTCAGATAGATCCCTAAGTCAAAAACTAAGAATTCCCTAGGTTTTTGATGGTTTTGCAGTAAAACCTTCAGAATTCCTTGGGATTTTAGCATTTTTCACATAAAACCAAGAAAACCTCGAGAAAACCAAGAATCCAAGAATCCAAGATTTTCAGGTAGATGTTTGGTCCACTACAAAATCTTGGATTCTTGGTTTTCTCGAGGTTTTCTTGGTTTTCTTGCTTTTACTTGGGAATTCTTGGATTTCCAGCAAAAAACCAAGAATTACTAGGGTTTTTTTTGGATTTCCAGCAAAAAACCAAGATTTACTAGGGTTTGTTTGGATTTCCAGCAAAAACCCAAGAATTACTAGGGTTTTTTTGGATTTCCAGCAAAAAACCAAGATTTACTAGGGTTTGTTTGGATTTCCAGCAAAAAACCAAGAATTACTAGGGTTTTTTTGGATTTCCAGCAAAAAACCAAGATTTACTAGGTTTTTTTTGGATTTCCAGCAAAAAACCAAGAATTCCCAAGTAAAACAAGGAAAACCAAAAAAACCTCGAGAAAACCAAGAATCCAAGATTTTGTCGTGGGCCAGACATCTACATGAAAATCTTGGATTCTTGGATTCTTGGTTTTCTCGAGGTTTTCTTGGTTTTCTTGATTTTACTTGGGAATTCTTGGATTTCCAGCAAAAAAACAAGAATCACTAGGGTTTTTTTGGATTTCCAGCAAAAAACCAAGAATTCCCAAGTAAAACAAGGAAAACCAAGAAAACCTCGAGAAAACCAAGAATCCAAGATTTTGTCGTGGGCCAGACATCTAACACAACAGAAATACCAGCACCAACTGAAGACGAAGAAGAAGAACCACAAAAAGATAATTTTGAAAAATTGAAATCTTAATAATAGCATATATAATGGGTGTTGGTAAAAGTAAAAATAATGAAAATAATAGTTTGGAAGACATTAAGAATTTAAGTATAGAGAAAAAACACGAGCAGACACTTTAATTACTAAATCTCTTCAAGAATGTGTGACACGAATTGAGACACTAGAGAAAGAAAAATCTGACAAATTAATATATAAACTTCCTGCCTTACAATTTTGCAATGCTTCGTTAATTTAAATTAATAATATTAACATATAATAATATTATTGATTGCTATCATAATCTGTCATTTTATCCTCTGGTATTGTTGTTGAAGTAGTACTACTTATATCATCTATTAAATCTTCTTCATCAACAAAATTATTTTGACATCTTAATAATTCCTCGTCTGTTGCCCTTCTTTTCAATACTTTATAAAGTTTATGTATCCAAGAATTAGTATGAAAATTACAATTACCTCTACGATAAAATCCACCACATCTACATAGTTTCATTGGCATATTGCTATATTATATTAAATTAGAATATCTTTATTCATCATTCGTAATTTGAAATGCCTGTTCAAATCTGATATGAAACATTTTGTTAATGTCTTTAGCATTCATATTCACGTAGAAGAAACTATAAGGTGCGTCATTAACGGCTTGATGATACATATCTAATAATTGCTGTTTATCAACAATGGCGCTATTTTCTTCAATAAAACTCATTAACTCACTTGCATTTTTCAACCTAATGAACTGGCATTTAAACGAATGATAGGCACTAAAACATTATATTTTGTGTTGAACAAATTACACTTACTGCATCGTGCCTGCCTCTTGTAAAAGTCCGTGTAATAATTTACTATATCTAACAAATTTAGGATCGTCTGCGTGGTCATCCACAACGATGAATATTGAATGCGTGGTCATCTATAACGATTAATATTGAATGTAGTTTCTTTATCTTTTTAGACTTCATATAATTAATTATTTTCTTCTGTCTTTCAATTACATTTTCTAAATCACTTGGATTATAATTATCAAAATCAATTTGTTCTTTTTCATCATCCACGTGCAATTCATCCCTGATGTATTGTTTAACTTCTGTAAAAGTTGGGTCATTATGAACGCTGGGGGAAAATATAAATATTCTTGCAAATGAATTTCTATAAACATTCAAGATAAGGTTTTGGACTAAAACTGTTTTGCCTCCCGTCGATGAAGCAACTATAATACTTCTAATTGGTAATTTTAGCACGTGCTCATATTTGGATTGTTTGAATTCATATTCAGTTATGTTTATTGGTTTTATTATTGGGACATCTGTCATAGTTGATATTAAAGAAATATAGAAAATTATATTTAAAAAAAAAAACTTGTCATTAATATTAAATGGAACATCATTATGTTATGAGTGGCGGTGAATAACATAATGGAACAGGTTTTCCATTGCTTCAATCAATAAGCATTGAAGATAATTAGTTTTGTGTTTTGCTCGCGTGTGCAATGAAAACCAAGTGCTGTGCCCCACCAATAGCGATGAAGGGAGGGGCAAATGATAGATGAGATCCTGCTTTTTTTAGCTAAAAGGTAGGTCATGCAGGGGGGGGTGAGCATATATATATATAAGTTACATGTACATATACAACAATGTTATATTTACAGGATTGTGTCTTGGACGCATATAAACTTTATGTGGACACACGGTCGAGTGGTTAACATTTAAGCTGCAATGGTGGTTATTGACTTCACCAACTTGGTGGCTGACCCACAAACTTTTGGAACCTCACACATTGTCGAGCGGCTCAAATGGGAGTGGCTGACGCAAAAAAGTGAAAATTCAATCTTAGTTGAGTGGCTGAAATGGTGGTGGCTGATTCAAAAACTTGGTGGCTGACTTTAAACAAGTTGGTCACTCACACTTAGTTGAGCTTTAACACATGAATCTCAAAACATTTAAATTGATCAGGTCACCCCTTTCTGCAGCTCCGCATGTGTATGCAAATTCAAAAAAAAAAAGCGAAGGGTCTTTTCTTTTTTGCTCATTCTGTGGTCCACGTGAACCCTAGGCTCGTCCCACTGGCACCAATCACAGGGACCCCGCTGGCTTCAGCAAAGCCCTGGGTTTGCACATCATTACATGTTTCTCTTATCAAGGTTACACATAATGTAGGTTATAGTAATCAGCTAATACTTATAATGCTTGTTTCAGAGTAAATTAACTTGCAGATTTCAACAGTTTACACATTTGACAGCTAGAATGATTACAAATCTAACGTGACATCACACGTGACTCCTGACAAGCTTGTGACATCATTGGATGTATTCTGTACGAAACCCGAAACCCAACAAAACGGTGGTCTTCCTTAAAACCAACCCAACAAGGGGTTCACCAAAAACGAGCACACCCTGGAAAATGCTTTGTCTTGTGTGCCGACACTGACCCAGGCATGGACACGCTCAAAAGGTTTGCTCATCCCAGGAGCAACAGACATATCAGCGCTTGGTACGGGATACAGCGCAGCCTTCCATTTGCTTAAGCCTCCTGCAAAAAATGAAAATACTTCCAGTAGTGATCGATTCCTTTTAAAACCAACAGGGGAAAATAGAAAAAATATAATAATAAAATATATTCTCAAACGAATGGAAGCATCGCAATGGCAACATCTCTGCCCTGGGAGCAAATACCACGAAACCCTGCCAAGCCACACCAAGGCTTGGTGCTGCGCATGGGCGTCAGCCTGACAATTCGGAAAGCGCAGAATTCCGAGTTGAGGGCGTGCGGGACCTGTAAGATCCTTAAATCGGCTATGAGCCAAGTTGAAGCCTCGGTCCGCTATGGTGCTGCTATGCCTTTGCGTCACTACAAGGCCTCTTTGTCTTGCATTTGACACCTAGTTTTGGCCATGGAAGGCAAACAAAATCATGCCTAGAAGATTGGAGAGTGGTTTTGCCGATGGCATTTCATGGGCTACTTGTCCAAGCAGAGAAAGAAACAACCGATTTATGGCTGAGTCTCCCTGGAGGGCGAATTTGGACCCCTCCCCAAATGAAAAGTGGCACGTTTTGTTTTTGGGTTCAGACCCAACAAATGGCCGACTCAGCCTCACGCACCGCTCTGTTTTCTATCAGAGCAGGGCGACTCGGCGGCTCAAAAAAGGGTGCTTCCTGGGGCTGCAGCAGGTGCCAAAGGCAAAGACCCTAACCCTGATTCATCCACCAGCTTGCGGAGTGCTAGGGGACAACCCCCACCCCAGAAGTGCGGGATCCCTCCAAAATACATGTTTAGGGAGCTACTAATCCTGGATGCCCACGAAGGGCGTCACTAAAGGGGAAAGGTCCTGTATTGCGACCAGAAATCCGTGGTTCAAACACTCGGCCCGACAAAACATCTCCCCAAAAACGAACTCCCTGGAGATTCCAATGCCGAGGAATTCCTAGACGTTCTGGTTCTCAAGGCGTTTTAGGCGTTTTAAGCGTTTTGCGGTTTTTGTTTGGCCGTATTTTTGCGGGTGTTGCCCCTCTTTTTTCCGGGCGTTTTGCGGCAATTTGCGGGCGTTTCTTGTTTCTAGGCGTTTGCGGTAATTTGTGGGCGTTTGCGTCCAAAACAGGGTCAATGCCGAGAATGACTAGGAATTCCTTGACGTTTGAATCTCCAGGTCACCTTAAGGCCCACAGAGCAACGTTTAAACGCAGCGAACAACTGGGAACATCTTCGTCTTGCTTACCGGGATTTGAGGTTCTTTCGGAACAGCTGGGCTTGTGTTCAAGGAATCGAAAGGACGCAGTCTTTCACAATTCAGATGGATTCTAAAGATTGTTGAATATGTTCTAACAATCGATTCAGTTTGGTTCTAATTCCGGAGCCCCCACCTCCGGTTTCAGGGCCACGATCAGGGTGCTTGCCACCGCCTGCCGCTCGACTCGACCACTCGATCACTCGACTCGACTCTGGCGCTTCGCGGGACTTTGGATCGGTTGAGTCTCTCCACTTTCCCTGTGGATCCATTTGCCTGGCTCTGTTGGTCAACCAAGGGAACCACCTGAAAGTTCAAAGGAAAGTTCAATGGAAAAGTTCAAAGGAAAGTTCAAAGGAAAGTTGAACTTCCATTTATCCTTTCTTGGAAAGCTCAAAGGACAATTTAGGATGTTGTAGGGGTATCTGGGATCCGCTGCGTCCAGTGGCAATTTGCATCGCTTTGGGATGCAAATCGCCTCTTTGGCTTCAATGTTTTGGCGGGGTGGCCCCCCTGCGCCTACTAAGCTGCAAGCCAACAGGCAGGGAAATCCAATTCGGTAGGCGTCAAATTCAGATGGTCCCCGATACTCGGCACTTTGGGGAAGGAATTATCTGTGTTTTCGGGTTTCAGAGTTACTGCTCGGCCTGACACACTCGTTCACAGAACTGGACCGATCTTCGTTTTCTTTTTCAAAAAAACACAACACCACGAGAAGGCGTGGTTGCGTCTCAAATAGGCAAACATCCAAAACGGGTGGGTTCCCTTGGTTTCGGGCATGGTGATGGGGAAGGGTTCCTTCCGAGCGTCAGAAACGACAGACCGAACCCACGAACCAACTGACAAAACGGGGTGAAATTGAATTGGGAAGCCTTTCATGGACATCAATCTAGGTGGGGATCCATGCCAACCACTTTCAAGGTGGGTCCCTATCAAAACTTATAGCCAAATGAACCAACCCACAAACGAAACAACGAAGGATCCAGCCAGCGATCCAAACAACATCCAGTACATACCAACAAAGCAAGCAACCAAGCAATCAAGCAAGCAAGCAAGCAACCAAGCAACCAAGCAACGGCAACCAACACAAGAACCAAGCAACCAAGCAACTAAGCAACCAAGCAAAGGCAACCAAGCAAGCAAACAAGCAAGCAAGCAAGCAAGCAAACAAGTAAGCAACCAAACAGCCAAGCAGCCCTAAAAGCCCCAAAGGAAAAAAACAAACAAGAAAACAAAAAACCAAACAATTCATTCGAGCCTGTCTCGACGCCACACGCAGCCCAGCGGCCTGCGGGATCAGGGTCCGGAAGCCGGCAGCAGTGAGGAGGAAGCCGATGCCCAAGCAGAGTGTGTGCCACTCGTGCCTGACGTAGCTATCGGCCCAACTGGAGGCGTCCCCGCCTACAAGACACTATCAAAAACAAACATGTTTAAGCCTACTTCCGGCCCTTTTTTTTCCAAAACATCAACTGAAGTGACGTTTGGCTTGATGCCCAAGATTTCGATGCAGGTTTCATTTCGTTGGTCATGCTCAAATATGATTAAAGCAGGATGGTTGCTGTTCCACATGAGAAAGTAGGGTCAACCACCCTTTTTCCAGCCGGCAGGGAACTCCAAATACCCGTACTGAGGTAGCAGCAAGCAGCCAGCCGCTAAGCCAATACGATACTACTTCCAAATCCATAAGCCTAGGCCCACGCCTGAGCCCCAGCTGCCAATTCTTTAAAGGGGACGCTACAGGGTTCCCCAAGTGCGAGCCGCGGCACAAAACCTGCGCCAAACCAACGCAAAACAGCCTTCAGATTGAGATTGGTAGGGGGACACATCTGCACCCCCAAGGCTGTACGGCGAACACACCTGGAAAGAAGCGAAACTCAACCTTCGCCCACGTTGCCCCTCAAAACACGGGGCTTGTGAAAAGAAGGCCTGGGACTAAGCCCTTCGCGATTGCTCTTCAAGGGCCCGGGGATTCGCTGCCCTGCCAGTGTTACTCCTGCTTCCCCCCCCTGCCTGGCCAAGCGACCAACTCGGGCCAGGTCTTCTTTTAGCCCCTGGCCGGAAAACTCCGCAGGGAAAGAAGTACGTTGAGGCGCGTTGTAGCGCGCGATATTGCCAACGAGCAAGGGGCAAAAAGCAACTCGCGGCTAAACTTCATGGTTCACTTACGCGGGCAGCTCTTGCGCGCGAACCCGCAAACTGATGCATCCTCCTCTCATTTTATCGAGGACAGGTCCTGAACGCGTTGTTTGGCGCAGGCCCATTGGATTCAGCGCGCTTGCGACCAGTGGGCCCTGACAGTCCCAAGGCCAAAACCTCTGTCCCGCGGCCTGGAACGTCGCGCTTAGTCAAGCAGAACTTTGCGCTGGGCCACGACACGCGTTTGCCAGGCAGGGCGCTTCAATTGAGCTTTCTTTTCGCAGATAAGCGCGCCCTAGCTGCAAAGCACGGAATAGGCGCACGCAAGTGGCACGCTGGCAGCCGTGGCAATCGCTAATGCATTCAAGGCCGAGCGAATCCTCTGCTGCAGCAACCCCACTAGCCCACTCTCGCCCACCATCGATCAGTTGCATTTTGTTCATCGTGTGATGGCTACCCCGTTCGAGACTCTGGACACGCGTCCTCTGAATTTTGCGGGCTCCCACAGAAAAGCGTGCCTTCCCACAAATTGAGAAGGCACTGTCTGGGAAAAACCACGTGCCCAAAACATGAGGTACCTCTCAGTAAAATTCGGGGGTCCCTGCTTTCCCAGACCCCATAGGAAAAACAGGGGGGCCAGGCGCTGGCCACTCGATTTGCTTCTTACGGCCTCACACCAACGACAGCGAACACCCGAAGTACACCTAGGAGCGTAGGGGAAGGAGAACCCTGCAACTCCACGCAACTTACCTGAGTCTTACCGTTGAATCCGGTCGTGGACTTTGACTTTGAACAATCGCACGGAAATCAAGTGCCATACTAAGGCCTGGAATGCTGGACCCATTTTGGGTTAATTAGTATGCTTGGAAACCCAAAAGCACTGACCGTTTTGCCCCATCCTTATGAGTGACAAGGAAAGCAACAACAGCACAGGTGGTTGCCAACCTCATGAGGCACCAAAGTGTGCTAAGTTTAGCTCAACATGGGGCTTGGGCCCAAAGGGGGAGGGTCCTATAGCCCTCTAAACCAAGCTTAGAAAAGGTGCCCTTTAAAATTACGCAGAGCGACGGGGTTGTTCCTGTAGAATGCTTGGACATAAACTTGCCTAGCCCAAACAGGAGCTGTATTTCCCCGCAACAAGTTCCGCAATCTACTGAGCTACTGGTGGTTTCCATTGAAATCGCCACTTTTGGAGTCCGGAAAGGAAGAAATTCGGACTGCCAAAGAATCCCCGATCTCATGGCTGAAAGCCATCAACTTGGGCCAGAGGCGACGAAGTTTGGTTGGAATCCACCACTATGGTGGCTGAACTCGGCTCCGGACCCAACCAATGGCTCAAACCCAACCAGAACAGCTGTGCCTTTGACAAAAAGTCGAGGCCACGCGGAGAACTGGAGGCCCTCCCTCGACTCGGTATCTTGGCTGAATCCTCCGTGCCTAGCGGATCCCCCAAAATGGCGCTCCTTTTGGTTCTCCTAGTACAGCCACGTTTTGACAATGGACAGTGAAAAAGTACTGATTAAACCTGGGTTGCCTCACAAAATAAACCTTAAACGATATCCCAGAAAAAAAGAAAGAAGTATACTCATATACACTGGCTCAAACGAATCCTGATCGATGAACAACATAGAACAACCGCAGCTTGGAAAAACGGAAAGCGGGGGACCGCAGTGCGTAACACTCTGTCTCCAGCATCTCCTGCATCAGTTCTCTCCCGCGCATGCCAGCATCGGACCTCAAAAACCCTTTCGCAATAAGCTCTGCGAGCGCATCTCCCTGCACGGCAGCTCGGCATCAGCTCTGCAAACTGCGGACTCCCCCCCCCCCCCAACTCCGAATTCCCGACCTAAAGGCTGACTTCCGTGGCAGACTCCTTTCCAAAACACCTGAGAATAGGATCCCAGGCAAAGGACCTTCATCAAGCGGTCGCGAGGTATCCAACAAGAAACCTCCCAGTCGTTTCCCCCCCGCCGTAAAACCTCCCGACCAAACCCGCCCCGGCGCCTTGGCGTCGGCTTTGGACGCCTAGACGCGACAGGTCTATCGAAGGCTGTGGCCTGAAAGTCCAAGCTGTCAACCAGTAGGGTGCTTTAAAGGGACACACGGCGTCATGTTCCTTCCATTTACAGGAGACCCTGGTTTTGAAATGAGTGAGTGACCCTGGTCTTGAGATGAGTGAGTGAGCTTCATTGGCATTTGTGTTTATGCATTACGCATGGCTGGGCGGTGCGCGGCTCAAGCAACTGCAGGAAGCGACAAGATGCTGGATGGAAAAACCACACAGCCTTGAGCATCTACTGCAAGCATGCTGGAACTTTCAAACGTGCAACGTCGGGGATTGAAAAGGCATGCGCCCACTGCAGCACATCTGATGGAACACCTGGGGGCACGGCAGAGGCGTTTTGGTTGGCGAGCAAGCAACCGTTTCTGGCATTACCTCTATGAAGCCGCTTCTGAAATTCCATGCGGGTTTTCCGCTAGGTGGGCTTACAAGATTCGAAGGTGTACTTGCAGGATTTGGATGAGAGCCTTACGAATCAGGTTTCATCTTTCTGTGTTAAACACAAATTAAGTTGGTTTATCCAAATGGCAAGCCCCCCAGCATGCTGGTTCTCCTCTTGGCTTCTCTTGAAAAAACACCCCCCAAAGGGGACCGAGTCTCCAAAAAGCGGATCTACATCGGCATACTTATTGTTGATGTTCATGAGCCCTTGCTCACCCACCGAATTCAGCACGTGACAGACTGAACCCATGATTGCATTCCCCAAACCCCAGTTGACCATTGGCCCAAGAGACAAAAAAGTCCCCTGGTTTCTGTACCCCCAGTTGACCATTACCCACCAAAAGTTGTAAAGTTGAACATTGACCATTGGCTTCTGTGAGTCGGTCACTTAAGAGCTGGGCCAAAACACGGCCCCTGCTGCCACCGAGGCGCGCTTGTTGCCACAAGATCTCTCGGTTCCGACTTCTAAGGTTGCTTCATTCGTGGCCGTTTGCGTTTGGTGATAAGGGTGATGCACCCAGTCAAGCCAATTGAACGGAGGTTTGCTGGGAGCACGAAGGTAGCCAAGTGTGGGGTGTGGTGCTTCCAACAAGGGAAGGTTGTGATTGGCAATGATGGGTGCCCATCACGATTTGTTTTGTGGTTTGCAGCCGGCTGACACGCAAGGCCACTGATTATCCCGCTCGTAGCGCTGTCGAATTGCCCTCTGAGAATCCACAATTGGTTGGCACTTAGGGTGCTATTTGGGCATGTGTCGCAAAGCCGACTGTAATTACAGCTTTTGGAGTGGTTTGGTTTTGAGACAAACCTTTTTGCCGCTGACAATCCTTTGAACAAGTCGGCGCCCGGCTAAAAAGTGCGCAAGCGGCGGCCTCTTGCGTGGGATCCAGGCGGAACCACCGGAAGAGCCAGTGGTCCAGCCTTGCGAGTCACCAAAATGGGTGATGTCCTTCTGATGTCCCCTTAAAAACCACCCCAAACAGGGGGCGCGGACCTGGAACAGGAATATCTGCTGTTTTTAAGCCAAGGACTACACCCAGAGTTGCATTGGCCCTGTTTGAGCTTGATCATGTTTAGAGGAACCCACTGAACAAAAGGGGGCAAAAGGGTGTGCCATTCTCTGCATGTAGGCAAGTCGCATGACCTAAATTGCAAATGTTTCCCGCTTGTTTGGCTGACCTTCCTGCGACCAGCCCATACCAATTACGCGGCCATCCAGAAACCGCCAAGTGAGTCACAATCAAACCTGACCTGACAGGGGTCAACTCACAAGCCATTCTGGTCGGATCTCTCCACAAATCTTCACTTACCAGAACTTGAACCAGGGACACCGGTACCATTTTGGGGATTCATGTCCACGTTCTACCGGTGGTCGGGCCATGTCGGGCCGGATCGATCGGGGCCCCGGCCAGTAGGAGACTCCGCTACCTTTGCAGGGCTCGCCTGGCAGGATGCCAAAACAACAATAAAGACAAACAAATCTTGAAATGGGCGTCTCTGAAAAAGCAGAGGGGGGAGGGAGTGGAGGCGGCTTGTGCCTTTTGATGAGGTGGGTTGCCCCCCCAACAAGAAAATCCTAAATTTAAAGGAAACCCGCTGGCTGACCATTTGTTCGATAGCCATGGCCTCAAACATGGCGGACATATCATCCCAAACACACATGAAACCTGCGCAGGCAGGGGTCCCGTTTTTTTTTCAGAAGCCCCCGGAATTGGGAGTCTTTATGCCACCGTGGAACATCGCTCGATATCACCGCCGGCTCTTGCCCACCAAAAGGCCAGTGAGAAACTCCCCAAGTTCCAGGAAGCAGAATGGCCGTGGGTCAAAAATCGGGTCACCCCAAAATGGGCCCCTGGGAAATGGAATGACCAAAACCTGCCTTCGAATCCCTGGTGGTTTCATCCGCCGACATGAGGCGTGTCGGATACTTAAGAAAGGAGAGAGGATAACACCCCTAACCCCCCCCCCCCCGCCCGACGTCAAATACATAGGGTTTTGGTCACAAAACAGGGGTCCCAGGCTCGAATCCCCCTGCCGGCTCTTTGCTGGTTCGAGTGTTCGGCTTTCGTTTGCCGAAAATCTGGAAAAACTCTGTCTTTGACAGCATGTTTGCGAACATGTTGGCAAACCCGTGTTGTTTTTCGGAAAAAATACCGGGGAGCGAAGGGGAAATGCAAGGAAGTGCAGGGAAAGGAGGGGGGGAAATAAAGGGACATGCAAGGACATGCAGGGGACAGGAAGTCGACATGACAGGAAAGCAAGGGGACATGAAAGGTAAACGAAGGGGAACTGAAAGGGACATGACGGGGAAAGGAACAAGAAATGAAGGGAGATGTAGGGAAATGATTGGAAATGCAGCGGACATGAATGGAAAATGAAGCAGACATGAAGGGGAAATAAAGGGGAAAGGAACAAGAAATGCAGGGGGGAATGCAGGGCAAACGCAGGGCATGAAAGACAGCGCAGGGGAAATGAACTGAAACGAAGGGAGATGTAGGGAAATGACTGGAAATGAGGGGGCATGAGTGGGAAATGAAGCAGAAATAATCAAGGGGAAAAGGACAGGACAATGAAGGGCACATTGAAAGGAACTGAGTGGGCCATGACGAGGAAATGATAGGACATGACGGGAAATGCAAAGGAAATGAAGGGGGCATCCAGGAAAAACGCATGGGATTTGAAGGGGTAGTACAGCGACAATACAGAGGTAATGAAGGGGAAGTGCACGGAAGGGGCTGAAAAATGTGCGCTTTGGCTTGGGGGGATGGGGAGGATGGGGAAGAGGGAGGAGAGAGGACGACAGAACACACGGGGAGGAGACAAGAGAAAGGGGAAGAAAGAGAAAAGGGAGAGGACAATGTCGGCGGACTGAGCCGGAGGCTCTAAAGTTTCTTACCCATACCCAAAATCCCACTGCCCCTTCTGACCTTAGTTTTGACCCCTTGGAGTCTGGCAGGTGAATCTGCCTGCATCCACGCTGGTGGTGCGCCAGGGCAGCGAGAGCGCCGGCACCTATGAAAACGGGGCGGGTTACCCCCCAAAAAGGCCTCTGGACAGGGTGGGGAGCGCTTTTGAGCGCCTTAAAAGCAAGGTGCCCTCAAAAACCAGTGGGTCTGGGGGGTTCCTTTTCGGTGTCTCAAAATCCGTCCCGGTGCACTCAAGAGGGTTTTATACAAGCCCCACTTCAAAACCAGGGGCTTTCCTGAAAGGTTGGAATCCATAGGGTGCTCCCGGTGTCTCGTCTCGGCATTCAAAAACTTGCCCTCCGTCGGATCGCAAGTGTAACCCGTTGATGTGGCTTGGCCATAGTTATGGAAACCAGTGAAGCTGAATGGCTGTGGGTCAAAATTGAACCGTTCGAGGCCTTGGTTCCATTTACCAAGGTTCCATTGTTGGTGCCTATTTTTGACCCACTGCCGAATCAGTTGCTCACCTGACACCAAACCCCAGCCAGTTGACGAGAAAAAGGACCAGAACATGCGTCAACCTATTGGTTGTCATGACACAGAAGGCCATGCATCAACGGATAAGACACATCACCCCCTGTTGGATGTGTATATCGGCAAACAAAGAGCAAGCTACTGTGAATCCAATTCGGAGGTTTTGAAGCGAAACACAGGCAAACCCGCCAAACATATTGGGTGCAGGAAGCAAGGGCGAATCTGCCATAAAGCTTAGATCCCAGTTTTTTGGCAACCCCACCCCCTTCTCAACATTCTCGGAGAACGAGCAATAGCCGGTCACCATGCCTTTTCCCAAGGCCATGTCATGGGTATGAAGCCAACATGGGGCCTGATTTCTTGTTGTGGGAAACCGTACAGCCTGGAAAACGGGCACCAACATACCCTTTTGCTCATTTGCTCCCTGACAACTGGAAACACGACACTTTTGCTTTACCCACAACTGAATCATGAAAGAATGTGTGTTTATATGACCCATGGTCTATTTTGGGGCGGATGAGCACCCATGTACCATCTATAATGATGTTCACCAGGGGTACAGGGTTTCGACCCACAGCCATATTCCGGGCACATTTGGCATGTGCCAGTTCCCACCCCCCAGAAGTCGCAACGGTCAGTCGGCCACTGGCCTGCGCTGGCTGTAGAGCAACGGCCAGTGATGCAGCGACCAGAATCAGACCTGCCTCGCGAGATGCAGCTGGGCTTGACCGGCACTTCATTTCAGGCGAGGATTTGTGTCCCAGCACTTTGGAAAAAATCATAGCCACATCTTCGGGCCTGAACAAGTGGACTGGTACTGGCCAGGCTAGAATTGGGCGGTAGGACACGTTAAAACGATATGTGGTTGCCACATTTAGAATCAGTCCCATGACTCGGCAGGGTGACTTTCACATAGGGCCAATCTTTGGATTCACGCAACTCTGTAGGGCCCGACCAGGAGCCTTCCAACGACCCGATCAGGTAGAACGCTGGTCCAAAAGAGAAAGGAAAACTAGGGGAACGGGTGATCCTGAGCTTCGGAGTTGCGCGATGCACGATGCAACTTTGGTTTATCGTGGGGGCTGGGGGGGAGGGGGGGGGGGGAGCTCCAATTAAGCCCCAAATAAGGCCTTAGTAGGGGCTTAACAAGGACTTATTTGGGCTCCCTCCCCCTCCCCTCCCCCCCCCAGCCCTTAAACTCATGGGGCTGAGGCGGAGTTCCGGCCGAGCAAACCAATCAGGCACTAAACCCAGGGACACTCCCCCCCCCCCGGTTCACAAGGGCAGCCCCAACAAATCTGCTGGCTTTCCGCAAGCCTCGTGGAGGAACGCCCTGTGAGCTGGTAGGTTTGGTACCGCGCCGTGGCAAGTCCCTCCAGACAGTGATGTTGATCTTTCGGTTTATGTTTCAAAGGGCAATGGTAGCGTCCTGTGAATGTGTGATTCTGGTGGTGGCACCTACGTGGCACCAAGGTAACCAACAAGGCCAGCACGAATTCACTGACCTCAAGAATGGCAACTGCCCCCACCCAATAAGATGGATGGTTTCCCTTTGGCTTCCCTTAGAATCATCAAACAATGAGTTAACCCCCCTCATGGTTGATTCCCATGCGCACTTCACTTAAAAGAGATTCCGTTCGCCCCTCCCCGAAGCAACCTACTGTGGATGGACAAAATCCTGCACCACCTAAGAAACCCTCGAATGATGATTGGCCTGCAAATACCAACAAACACTGGTTTCCCTTGGTTTCAAAGTGGTGCAGGATTTCGTCCATCCACAGTATTGTCCCTCAAACAATGTTTCCTTGACCATGCCAAAGCTTGTTGCCCCCTTGGGGCGCCACAAACAAGAGCTACGGTGGACTTTCTTCCTTCGCAGCCAGGCCAGGACCCGCGCCGCTTTTGGCAGGTGCTTCAGGTGGCGCCTCACGTGAACTGCAGCGGAAGCCATGGGTGCTGATTTGGCACCGCAGTTTAAGGTCATGTCTTTAAGGGAAATGAAAGGCAAAGCCAACCAGAAACCAACCCCCACCAGTTTTTGGGAGGTCCGACTTTGACAAACCCAAATGTTTCGTCTGCCCTTTGCGTTTGGTCAGGAAAGTCAGATTCTCAGCTGTTCGGCATCTTGCTTTGTCTGACCCCGTCCCCCAATCCATGAGTTGGCAACGCGCCTCGTGCGCCAAACAAATCCATCTATGGTTGGTTCCTTTTGCCGGACCTCCAGTCTAACGTAGCTGAAGCGCCAAGCACATTTGGACTGGCCAAACAAGCACTGTAGGCCAAAGGAAACACACACACACACACGCACACACACACACACAAATCAGTGTTGGATGTGTCGAACTTAGGTGCCTGGAGCGATTCCCACGAAACTAGGTGCAACCAGCGAACTCGTTTCAACATCCCTCCAGGTATTCTTGGTAAGTGAATTTGTAGACCACCAACAAAGATGAGCTGCACCTTCGCTTTGGAAGTAGTTGGTGAAGCGGCAAAAAGTGGCATCTGGGTTTTATAAGCATGGCTTGTTTCCAGGTATGTGGTGGGCCGTTCCACGATGGCTATATACATTTCAAAGCGAAGTGGAGACCCAGCGGTGGACATCATGAAGGGGAGTTCTGTTTATCGAACATGTTCAAGAGATTCCGTCCGTCTCCGCTTTGTTGCTCTTTCCTAACTTCCCACACCGCCGAACGAGGCATCAAAATAGGGTGGCTTTGTCCCGCTTGCTGTTGCCCACTCGCACGCTTGGCTGGTTGGGTGTTTGGGATTGGAGGGAAGACAAGGCAGGTACCCCCCCTCCCCCAACAACCCTTGCAATTCGTGAAACGCGCCGCTCCAAGCGAGCCTGGGCGTGCGCCTTAGAGCCGCCAGCAGCGCTGCGCACCCAAGCCTCGCGAATTGCCCAAACCTGAACGCCTGGATCGCCAGTTGCAGCTTTTCCTCCCAACAACCTGTGACATTTTAGGTAGGAACAAAAACCGGCAACATGGCTATCTAGGCATCTTGCTTAAAAACGGCCGGCCCCAAAAGTCTAAGGCGCTCCCTCTGGTTATACATGATCTTGGGAATTGTACAAGGGGCGCCCCGAATGCATGTGGCCCGGGATCCGAACTGAACCGAGGTTCATAACCCGATAAATGACAGAGATATTTCATAAGGTTCAATATGTAAACTAGTAAAAGTGTCATCATAAACTAAACTTTGATTAATTAAAACAGCATCTTCAAAGTTTATAACCTTCTCAAGATAAATCACCAACCAACATATTCTGACATTGAGATTTCTCCTTGCATACTAGTTGAGTTATCAGCTAAAATATCGCCACGTTGTACCCATTGTCCAATTTACGGCGGCCAGTGCTGTATCCTGTTCGGAAGAGGACTCTCCGCGCACATCCGGAAGGAAATGAACCACCAAGCACCTCTTTCGGGACACCCCCAAAAAAACCATGTCGCCTTGGAACCGCCAACACAGGCTTCCAGCCTCCAGTCAGGGTCCATGTCGGTTGCGGAACGTCCCCTTCAAAGGGCCGTCAAAGACATGGTTTGGCCATTTTCCAGTGTTACTTTGGCGGCCAAAGCGGTGGTGATCCTTGATCCCCACCCCGCCCCAAAACAAAAAAGGTGCATTGTAACCATATTTTCCCGACCAGCAACAAATCCACCACGTGCCCCCCCACATCCCCAAACGGGTGTGGCTCAAAACAGCAGGGGCCAACCGCAGGTTTCGGTCCACGTGTCCACTTACCGATCGGGCAACCCATTTATTACTTACCCCTTAAAACTCCAAGCCCTGGGGAAGTTAATATTTTACAGACATATAGCCCATGTTACCCAAAAAGTTGAAAAGTTGTGTTTTTAAGAGGTGAGATTTTGGTACTGGTTTTTTGAGCCACCTCCCCAAACCCCGAAATTCCATCCACAGGCGCAAGCGCGCAGGGCAGGGCGCGAGGAAGGCGCCCAGTGCCACCGGCACAAAGAGCAGCAGCCTGGATGGGTCACTCGGTTGCGAAATCTGCTCTGCTAAAAGCTTCACTTTTAGTGGGGTTTAATACGGAAAATCCATTTAACTTTTCGTGGGGTTTAATACGGAAAACCCACTAGTTGGCAATAAGTTAAAGTCCTAACCGCCAACAAAATAAAGGCAGCAAAGGGTATGTGTCCTTTCTTCAGGAATCGGACCCAAAATGGCAACGATGTCCTTTTTTGTTTTTCGGCGTCCCTTTAAGCCACTTGGACTTGGGCATGGTTTTTTTGAGGGAGGTGGGACCCCTCAAGAGGGCAACGATTCCCTTGTGGATCCCCGATAAAACCCCTCTTCGCAAGAAAAAGAACTGTGTCGAACTGGGTTAAAGCGAACATGTTACGGTTCCCCTGCAAATAGAGTGTAGTTTTGAGGACTCTGCTTGCGCTTTGGAAGGGAAAACAACAAAAACTTCCATTGGGTAACTGTTTTGCTTGCTCCAGACTTAATGGGGATTTAGAATATCGCTCCTTGGCTCCCTGAATCTCTGGGCAGATGGTACCAAAGTGGGCTGTCTTCTGGCCACGAGCGAGCTCATGCTCAACCACTCCCGCCACATTGACTTGGCGAGGCGCTCACGTGTCGTCTTGTTGCCATGACAAGCAATCGCTGCATCCAAGGTCAAGGTGGAGAAGGGCACTTGGAAATCTCTTGTCAAGCCTTCGCTGTACCAACCATCGCTGCAAAGCCCTCCATGTGGCAGCAACAGAGTTCAGCTAGAAGATGGAAGCAGAAGCCTTCGCATTGAGCCTCCGCAATTTGTTTCCCACACTCCCTGCTGGCGCAAAACACTTCTACACGTACGGGTTGGCTTTGGCATGACCGTGGACTGTGGCGCATCGGGGCCTGAGACTTTGGGCATCCAAAAAGAACACCAAAAGGGCAAAAGGGAGGAGGTAAAGGTCTAAAGTGCATACGGCCGTTCAGTGCGTAACAATATCTCATTAGCCAAGAAAATAGACCAGAGTAAGTTTCAGGGTTTGCATGTACAAAAGCAACATATCTGCAACTAGAAATAGGCACCTCCCAGCTGCCAACAAAATGCGCAAGTCGCAGCCAATCGGACTCATCACCACAAAATGCCCCGTGGCCTCAATCTCAACCACGACACGGTACAGGGGACCACTGTGTCAGAAGCACCACAACTGGCCAGATGGAGACCCGCTGCCATGCCCCTCAATTCACTGATTTCAGTCTGTGTTCATTCCCTCAAAATCTACGAAACAAAACTAAGGAACCCACAAAAGTTACTTCCGAGTCCCGACAAGGCTCTAACCTCACACACTGACCCAGCCGTAAACCGTTTACAAACATGGTTTCGGGCACGTACCCCCAGATTCGCCCATTCTCCTGACGATCCGCGCCTAGCCGTCATGAGTGGGCTCCTTCGAGATAATTGGGGTGCTTGTCTCAAAACGGGAAGGGAGGCCCGAAATGCTCGGATCTCTTGTCTGCATGTGAGAATATATATATATATATATATATTTGCAACCCCCCCCCCCATGGACCCTGGTTTTACTGCCTTTTGGGGATGGCAAATCTAGAATTTCCAAATTTATATTCTCGAAATTTCCAATTGTGGGTCCCCAAAGCGTGATAATTTGGAGCCCGGAGTCCTCCACAATGTCCCAGTATGATACCCTTTGCACATAAGATGTTACTTCAACTAGAATTGGAATTTTGAATATAGTTTAGTATGGATATAGTTTTCAAAGATGTGTTTATGTTCAATTACAGCTTAAACAAGCAAATCCTTTCCAAATAGCAGCTACATGAAAATGTAAATATATATTTTCGGCTAAACTCCAACTAATCTATAACACAAGAAGTTAGATGGAAGTGTTTTCCCAAATATAATCCAAGTGGTAAGTATAATCTAAGACGAACACAACTCAATTTGCTTTTGATAATATCAAGTGAATAGAGACTACATCTCAAATATAATTCATATTAAATATGGCGAAACATTTGGAAATTAAAAATAGGATTTGTGTTGTTTACATTCTGGCCCTTTTGTAGCATAAGAAAGGTCCGACATCGAAACTTGTTAGACGGTGTTCCAAAGGGAAATGTCAAGGGAAGAGAGGTTCAAAATCTAAAACTATCTCGAAACAGGGATTCTAGCTAAACCTTTTTTTTAAGTTCTATTTGCGCAGGAAAGTTATTTTTTTGTCAAAAGGTGGAGGTAGTAGATGAGCAAATGTGGACAGGTAGTTGAAGAGGGTGGGGGACGGTGTGTGAACGTACATACATATGTATATCTATATATACACATACATACACACATATGTAGTACCCCCAATGATCATGCGCCTCCTCATAAAATACTGGAAAATGCAGTATTTTTGAGCGTTGCACCTGCCTTTGTTTACCTCCTGGAAAGGGGTCAACATGAGCATAGCTGACATGAAGCTCACCAAAAGCACTTGAAAGTTTGTCTAACCAATAACTTGAAAGTGTGTCCACTGGATCGCTAAGCACTTGAAAATTTGCTACTATCGGATGGAATATTCAATATTGAAGATTACACAGAACACTTTCCTGAGAATTGTCAATCCTGGCCAAACCCAAATAGCATTCAAGTTCTTCTAACACTTGAAAGTGCTTTACCACTGGATTGGGGATTCAATATTGAGGAGCCCACAAACCACCACTTTCCTGAGAATCATCCATCCTGGTCAACCCCTAAAATGTTCAAGTTGTTCTATCACCTCGAACATCCGTTACCACTGGATTGAACTATTTCACGGAAAACTTTTCCGAGAATCTTATTGAACACCGAGAGTATTGGGACAACCCTGGAATTTTTAAAACTTTTTAAAAATTATGGGATTCAAGATTCAAGATTCAAGATTCCCAGAAAATATTTTCTCAGATTCTTGAATCTTGAATCTTGAATCCATAATTTTTAATAATTTTTAAAAATTCTGGGATTCAAGATTCAAGATTCAAGATTCCCAGAAAATATTTTCTCACATTCTTGAATCTTGAATCTTGAATCCCATATTTTTTAATAATTTTTAAAAATGTCTGAGTTGTTCTTGTATTCTTGGATGCATTCAAACTCTTTCAGATTGCAGGTGCTGATGTCATTGCTTTTATCACATCTGTATGCATGCATGCGTATCATATACATGTACGACCCTCCCCCCAATTTTGACACAAATCCAAGAAGCAAAAAGAAGCATAAAACACTGGAAAATACAGGTCAACCGCACCAAACCAGGGTCCATGAGGGGGGGGGTACCATATATTTATATTTGTATGACATAAGTATGTAAAGAGATACAAACATATCTATATATATATACATACGTTTCACAAACCAAACAAGAAACCCAAGAGAAGGCAGTACCCAGGTTTCACCTTGATGGCTCGCAGGGAGCCCACATGTTTATTGGCCTTCCTAAACACGCGGCAATGGTGAAAATCAAGGAAAAGTGGAAATCCGAAAGATTCCAAGCGTGCAGGACCAAACCTCACGATCTCGTCCTATGTATGCATGTATGTATGTATGTATGTATGTATGTATGTGTGTACGAAACTGCGTATGAAGGTAGGACAGGTAGGTAGGTAGGTAGGCAGGTAGGCAGGTAGGTAGGTGGGTAGGTCGGTAAGTAGCTAGGTAGGCAATGTGTGTGTGTGTGCACACGTTCTTGTTTGATTTGTGTGTGGGTGTGTGGGTGGGTGGGTGGGTGGGTGGGTGGGTGGGTGGGTGGGTGGGCGGGCGGGCGGGCGGGCGGGCGGGCGGATGGGCGGGCGGGCGCGCGGGTGTGTGTGTGTGTGTGTGTGTGTGTGTGTGTCTGTCAGCGCGTGTTCGCATGTGTGCTTCTCTGTGATGCATGCATGCAATGTGCGCATGAGTGTGGCGTGTCTCCTGCGAGCAACTTATCTCCATGCATAAGGGCCATCCCGACGACCTCCCAAAAATACTTAATCATCGGCTCACCAAGCACTTCCACCAACTCAAGCCGTGTTCAGCGTGGGCGCGGTGTGCGAAACACGCTTCAAAGTGAAGATTCACAAGGCAATTGCGCACGCAGCTGCGTCCAGCACACTGGCCACTTACAGGTTGGACCTGCAGCGCCCCTTGTTGACCCATGCGACTGAGACACGCGACTTGGCAAGCCAGTTCTCTGGCGCCCACGTCGTGGTCGCGCACCTTGACCATTTTTGCGGCACTGCCCCGGCACGGGGGGGGTGCTCCACACAGCCGCGCCAGTGCCGGGCAAATCGGGAAGCCCCGTGCATCCAAAAACAGACAAAGCGCCCCGAAAGTATTACTGCAAACTGCTTCAGAGGATGCCCGCGCATTGCAGAATTCTCAGCCAAGCGGCAGCTGCTTGACAGTTCTCGCAAGCACATCGATGTGCTTGCGCTGCAGTCGCGAGATGTGCCCGCGCCAGGCAGCGAACGCGCGGGCCTGGCAGCCTGGCGTTGCCAAACCCACAGCTGGCACTGGCCTGACACACTCCTTGACTGCCTCCCACTGTCAAGGCTGCTGCAGCTCTCACAGCCGCCTCGGCCTCTTCGCCGAGGAAGGGAGGAGCCGACCTCTTGCTGTGTCCATGCTGGCAGCTTCTGTGTGTGAATTAATCCACATCTGGGGCCCGGCTGGGTGCTTGAAACGGACGGGCTGGAGAAAGTACACCGACCGTGAGAAAACCAAAGCGGAGACCTTCGTGCACCGCATTGTCTGGACAACTCGCGCCACTTCTTCAACACAACCCTGCAAGCTCTGGCAGGGGGACCTGGTGGTATCGTGGGGCCCCGCCCGGTTGTACTAGAGCCGCGTAGCTCCCACTCCTTCATGGCGCACAGGAATGCGGAGCCTTACAGCCTAACGCAAGAGGTTTCATTTTCTTAATGTAATGCAGTGCTGCTTGTTGCTTGACTTCTGACCCATTTGAAGCCAAGCTGGCTCAAACATAGCCTAGCTTGGCGCCAGCAGTGACTGCATCCCCAGGAGTTGTCTGTCGTAAAGCTTCGGCCCAAAATCTTCAAAGCGAGAACGGTTAGTCTCAGCTATGTTCCCATCATGTGTTGCACTACAACAGCATCAAACATCATGCCTATAATATTGCTCTTCTCGACTTGACTACGTACTGTGTTTTGTACATTTGCAACTAAATAAATCGACCTACAAACAAAAAAACATCCTCAAACGGTTTATGTTCGGCGCGCATCGCGGCATCGCGAGATTTCGTGGAGACTTAGTGCGGTCGAGCCCGAGCCGCTTGCCCCGGCTGCCATGTGTTGGTCTACTGCCGGTGGTGCCCGGCACACACACACACACCTCTACAATAAACAAACATATATATATATATATGTTTATGTATATATATGTACATTAGATCTATATCTATCCAGGCCCACCTGCGATTGTTTACTCCAAGTTTTGCCAGTAAATCCATAGCCCAGGGCCTGAGAGGTGCGTCGCATGGGCTTGAGACCTCCAAAGGTTGGGCCTACGCTGAAACTCCCGGTCCTTCCGCGCAGCTCATGCGAGCGAGGGCTCGGATGAGGGCGAAAACGGAAATCCGGAAGTGCCCAAACTAGGAACTGAGATAGAGGGTCTGCAACATCAGGGCAAACCCAGGTCAAAATCAGGTCTAGATAGGAACTAAACTCGCTAAACTGGGCCTTGGGAACTCCGTCCGGGAATCACGTGTGCTTTGTTGCTTTGTGCAAGCGGACGGAGCTCATTCCGCCCTATGGGGGGTTACCTTGATGCGGGAAGTCCGTCAGGCGCCCGTTGGTAAAACAAACTCAAGGCCGTCAGCAAAACGTGGCCAAGAAAACCTCAAGACTTAGGGTTTTCCTGTTGGCTTCCGAAGTTTTACAGATGAAACGGGTACCAACAAAGCATCCGAAGGGGGTCGAGAGGCTTCCGAGAAAGGTGCCCTCCATCCTTCCCTGAGCCAAAGTCGCAGGATCATCTTGTCGCGTAGCACAGACTCGTGCTGTGGGTGTCTTTTTGGAGGAGACTCTTGATTTTCTTTAAACGGACAACGCAAGAAAGCCAACCGTTTTGGGGGGCCCGATTTTAGGACAAACCCATCATAGGCAATGGCGTTTGCACTTCCTAAGGGAAACGCGTGCTTCTCCAAAGACTTGAGACCCCAGAGTTGTTTAGTGTTTCTTGTTGGTTTCCTTTTTGAAAGCGGCCAAACAGGAGACACCCCCAAAGAAGACACTCCCAACTCAAGCAAATTTGTCTGTCCAAAGGTAACAAGGTGTTACCTGCTGGGAAACGCTGGACTTGGTCACGTCCCTGTGGGTACAATCTCAGATTGTGATACAGCAAATCCTCTCTTCTCGACTCCTTAAAGACAAAACAACCTCCGTGCCGTAAGCTGTGAACAAGCAGGGTTGTGAGTAACCATGCCTGAAGTTTGGATGCAGAGCATCCGCGTGCCTATTCGGCTCATTAAATGGTGCTTCACGCGAAGGCGTGGCTTGATTTACATCTGCCTTCGAAACTTAACGCCTCAACAACCAAACAAGCAGCGAATTGAGAACAACGCGTCCTACTTGCCTTGAGGCAGGTGATGGCCTGAACCTCAATCCCGGCGCCAGCATCCTGGACCCAATTTAGGAGTGCTGTTGCTCCCCGGCAAGGCTCCAAAAACAATGTAGACATGGAGTGCAAACGAAAAAACAAGTTATACAGATATACCTTTGGGAATCCATACGGGCTGTCGTTGTTTGAGGGAACCCTTCTTGAGGTGGCTCCAAAAGGAAACCACCCCCGTTCAGGGGTTCCCCATTCTCAGACACTCAAATTTAGTCGAGGGCTTGTTGTTGCTGTGTTGAGCGCGGTTCCCCCCTAACTCGGGCAACCCCTTTCCACCCCCAGCGCGCCTCTCCGGCAATCTTCCCCTCAGCGGGTTCGCCCATCCGAATTGGGCGACAAAGGAATAAGCGTGTCTTGCTTTGGAGGATAATCAATGTTGGGTTGTTTCAAACACCCACGGGGCACTATGAATATTGTTTGAGGATCCCCCATGGCCGCTTAAAATATGTGTGCCAAAAAAAGTTGGGACACTTAAGGGTCATGTCAGGTCAATTCGCCCAAGAGTGAGACGCTCAACGGGCAAAAGGTCGATTCGCCTTGGGCAAGCGAGAATCACCTGCGTTCCTACGCGCATCTCCCCCCGACTCTTGGCCTTGACACAGTCTTCACAGGGATGTCCCCAGCCAAGGCCCCCACGACATCCGAGGCCACCTGTCAGATCTTGAGAGAGAAGGGTATCCCCAGCAACCCCTAAGTAAAACGGCAGAAGCATAATTTGTTATGAACTCTACTTGGGGATGTGGTGATTGAGGTGAGAATTGATGTCCACCATGTTCGAGGGGGTTCTAACCATCAAAAAACATAGTCATGCGCACCTCTGTCTGAACCCCCTGGTTTGCTGGGTGCACAGACCTCTCATAAATCGCTTGCCGGCCCAAAAATTCTGAGGCTCAATGGAGGAGGGTTCTCCACCAACTTGCTCTTGGGGCCTCGAGCCCAAAACTCATCAGGACCCTGGCTGAACAAACACCAAACGCGACTGTACCAAACCCAAAGCCATCGAATGCCTTGATTAACCGCACACGCAAAGCAGCAGTTGCGAGTCATGAAAATTCAGTTGGGGGGCCAACCACCATCTGTGCCTGCACTCACCCCCAATGAAAGGCCCAAAGAGGTTCTGGTTCTGAGAACCTTAGACCTGTTGAATTCATCTGTCGATGCGGCGTCTCATCCAAACAGCTGGCATCCAAGAAGCCTATGAGAAATGATCCCTTTCTGTGATACCAAAGTAGAACAGCGTTACCTGCCACCTATCTTGTCGCTTGGGAAGCCCGTGGTACGAAAAGCGGCCGTACCCGATATTCCTCAACGTGGTGATGGAGACTTAATTGGAGGACCGCAGTATTCGCGTTTTGTTGGACCACTGCGGACATACGAGAAGTACCTGCCTCAGGCCACTCGTTGAGTGCGCCGTTTTTCGGCATCAGATAAGCACTGCTCAATGAGGTAGATGTTCACTGCACACCCCGCAAAGGGGGGGGCCCCCAATCTCTGTTGAAGGGTTTGCCGCGTTCCGTGTGAGCAGCTCTATCTTCAAATAGGAGGGGACCGAGCCTGCTAGCGGGGGATTCAGCGCTCATACGAAATCTCAGGAAAAGTAAACCTTTGCAATCCCCAACCGCTCGTGGCCCGTTTCATCCCGTTTCAAGCAAATAGGCCCTTCCTAGCCGGATGGATATCACCTCCTGCATGTTAGGGAACCAGCCCAATCCGAGGTACCTCAACTTCCCAGTCTGAACCTCCCCAAAAAGCGCTCCTTCCCATGGAACAAGAGCTGAGCTGTTCAAATCAAAACGACAAAGCTGTCACCTCGTTTTTCCGAAACTCATCACTTTCCTTTCGCTTGGCTCGGTCTGTTTTTGACAGGGACCCCAACAAAGCAAACGGATGGAAGCAAAAACGGAGAGTCTGAGCATACCCCCGACTGACCTTCTCAGCCATGTCATTGGACCAGCTGGTCTCGGACGCCTGGGCAAAGGGGATTTCGGGATTGGGTTTCGAGAAGGAGAAGCTCACCGATAAATGGGTGTGCCTTTTTCTTAGGGAGCCCCCCCAAAATGGTGGCTTTCGTTCGGGTTTCCTTTGAAACCAAGAAACAAGAGGTACCTAAGGAAGAAGATTCACAAATGGCTCGTTGCCGGAGACATGCTAGAGACGAGGACATCTAACCCCACGCAGGGCATTGACTTCATAGTGCTTTTGTTGCGTATGTCGTCCAGGAGCTTCCGTCCGGCCGAACCAAGATGGGATGATGCGAACCTTGCAGCATGCCTGGTGGTCCCAGGATTCGACGAGCCTTGTGTGGCATCATGATTCACACCTGGAGGGTGACTGGGTCCAAGAAGAAAGATTCCGAAGCCGTACCAGCCCCGTTTGCGTGTCCAAAGCTATCCCCAAGAAGCACTGGTCCAGTAAATATGCGATTCCCAAGAGAGCCGTACGTATACAACCCAGGCCTCCCTAGGTGAGGGGTACAGTGGCGATGATAGAAACCTTTGCAGGGTAAACCCAAAGTTGGCTGAGCAGCGCCACAGGAAAAGATTTCAATAAATTTCAACCTTTGGGTTCTTGGGCCATGCTCAAAGAGGAATCTCCTGTTCGGGGACCCCGTATTGGATTCCATGTTGAATTCAGGAGAACCAAAGAAACGTCATGCAGCGCCCAAAATAAAACACCATCCTAAGCGTCAAGGGTGGTAAGAGGGACTGGCATGAACTGGCCTACTTGAATGACGTTATGTCCATGGCGACACACACACACACACATGCACAGACTAGTCACTTTGGGTGGAGCACAAACGTTTGTGTCAGCGCGTAGCCGGCGTTGCGCCAAAGGCACCCGAGAGTCAGGGCTCCAACGATACGCACTTGTCAACTGAAGACAGGCAACGGCAGCACTGCACACTTTTGCGGCTTCCGTGGAGCATCCTGCATCGTGCCTTTTGCAAAAAGACCCGGAGCAATGTCTCACGGAATTGCATCGGAACTCCCATTTCATGGACGAAGTGGTCAAACACCCCTGTTAGGCAGGTATAATCTATACAGCACTCGAGAATCCAAGGCGTGGTGAAACCACTCTCTTGGCAAGGACCTGTTATGGCCGCTGCTGCTCACAACTGATAAATCTGGGAGTGCAGGTGGAAGATATGTCAGAATATACATGAACTGCATGACTGAGGTTTGTGAAAATGGCGTGAAAGCAGCTGCTTCATGCCTCAAAAAGCGCCTGGAACCACACATCACAACACAGGTGTTGACTGACAATCTACGCGCTTGCTCCGCCCATCGGCTTGGGCGAAGCAGCAAGCTCTGCAACCTCCTTCTCAACAAGCCCTTCCTTTCCAGCCACGCCACCTCAGCCTGTGACTTTCCGAGTCCTTCGGACCGAGAATATGGAGAGGATGAATCTGGGCCTTTCTCTTTGCAGAGTTGCTCCAGGCCAGCATCCAGGGCTTTCCGGAAAGCTTTGGAACTCTCAAACTCCGCCTTTCGCATGAAGATCTCCTCTCTACGCAAATGCTCTGCTCCGGCAGAGGAGAAACTCTTCATCTTGCCCTTGCCGACTTTGCCGTTGAAGTAAAACACGTCCAGCGTGCAACCCTGCATTTCCACATTTTCTATCCACTGGGTCCACCACCTGCATCCCCATGGCTTCTGTTCTCCATAAAGGGGGCTGCACCAACACGAGCCCTGCAAATCTGGCAGCTCCACAGGAATTGGGTCATGTTACCCATAGTGCTGTGAGCCTCGTGGAAGGAACACCACGGCGGCGCTAAGTTGATGAAGTCCCAGGCGGACTCGTACTTGCGAGATTCCCAGACAGCGCAAGACGGTTCTCAGTAAGGGGTACCATTTAAATAACAGGGGATGCTCGGAAACACAGAGGGGATGGCTCAGTTCGTGGTTGCCTGCCTATCGAGCCAAACACAGATGGGAGAAGTCAACTTGACTCTATTCGGCGGTCTGGATTCGTGGTTTACTT